AAAAAAAAAAAAAAAAAAAAAAAACCTAAGAAAACTCTTGTGCCCATCCATTTTTACTTATTTGAAAAAAAATTAACTAGACACCCTGACTTTTGAACAAACAACAATTCTAATATTTTTTTGAAATAGCATATTGACTTCTAAAAACAGGCAATGTGTAAAAGATGCATCTCATTCGCCTAATTGATGGTCACATGGACAATGATAAAAAAAACGACGTCCATAGTAAACAAATGCATGTATCCATAAATATATATTTAAGCAATTAAAGTATGTCAGTCTGACTCAAAAATTTATTTGAAAATATTAAGATGAATAATGTTTATATAACTTTTGGTCCAATTGATTTCGTACTACACAAAATTGAGGCACTACAAGTAATTAGATTAGAGTGAATTGAGGGCATTCAACGAACTCAATATTAATATAATGAAATAAATAATCTAACCAAGCACCAAATCGGAGTGACCAAGTATTATCTAACTCTTAAAACTGCATTCAACAAACACAGGATTAGAATTGGTCCTATTCTTATGCCCTCCTTAATCTGATGTTTTATACATCTATGCGGGATAATTCAATGTTTTATACATCTATGTGGGATTAACATACATTCCCTAACTCAATCCCTCTTTTTCTAGTATGGTATCCAAACAAGCCTGAAGTGTTTTACTTGAGCATAGTTCAGGAATTTTACCGTAAATTTGTCACCATCCCCAATATAATAAAATTTTACATTCATGTGCCTCTTACAAATATTCATGGGAGATGGCCAAGTAACAATGATGCCGTGTTGGTGTGGAATTACATTGTCTCTAAAACTCCAAAAAGGATTATCACCTCTTTGCCAACTATAAGTGAGACAAGACATGAATGAAACTCCCAAGTTTCAACAGAGGCATAAGCATAACAAAAAGTAGAAGTTTTCAGGCCCATGCTATATATATGAGCAGTAGACACAGATGGGGGCCTAAAATACCAACATGATGAATACAGACAACAAATACAGTGAAGTGCGTAAAACAAATTGAAGTCAGGAGTGGATACATCACCACTGATTAATTAGATGGAGAATATAATCCCCTCTTCTGTTAGCATAAATGTGAAATAAAATATTTTGCATCTAATATGTGTTGAAAGAGCCAACTCTGAAAGACAGATTCATGCTGCACAAACCTCATACCCTCCTAAATACTTCATTGTATGTATGTATGACAAGGCAAAAATGGAATGACCAAACAGAGTGATTGGCAGAAAACATCCCAATGATTTCTGCATAACTTGAGGTTCACAAGGATCATAATGAATTTAGTGTTAAATTTAACTTTTCGTGGCCAGCAAACGGATCCCAACCAATCAGTTAAAATTATAAGCTCGCTGAGAAGATGACCAATATAATTTTCCTCAAGAACTCTATATTTCTTTTGCTGAAGTACAATTATTACATAAAACCATACCTCAGTGGTCTGTCTGAACTGTGTTGTGAAAACCCTTCAGCACCCACAGAGCCTTGTGTTCCAACTGTACTTACAGAGGCGGCAGTTCCTTGTGCACTATCAGCCACATTGGAAATCTCTTTCTCTGCCATCCGATATGAAGAATTAACAACTTTGTCTTGGACACAACACTGTGTAAAAGCAGAAGGCGCCTTCCCCAAATGCTTTGCCTGAGGTCGGGGAAGATCACAATTCTCAATACTCTCAAGTGACTTGTAAGAAACCAAGGAAGGCAACTCATCTTTGTCAACTGTACGCCACCATGGTTCGGTTTTCTGAACTTCAACCCAGTGGGATTCTAAATCAGAAGAAAGTTTTTCGGGTTGTTTAGTAACAATGCAGTCAGAAGAATCCAAGTCCATCAGATTATCATCTGCATCCCATAACTCTCCCATGACCTTAGTCGTGGATGTTTTTTGCGGGTTAACAATTACATCTTTAAGTTCACTCATTCCACTATCCTGCTCAATTGTCAAATTAGTTGGAAAGATGTTCCATGGTTGGTCACATGAGCCAGCAACAATCTTAGAACCATTTGGAGGACAGTATTCTGTAATAAATTGTCTCTCCCCGCCAAACTTCAAGCTTTGACTGACAAACCCCGAACTCAAAACTTCGAGCTCTGACTCCACGGCATTTAACTGTTCATGTGAATTGTCTTTCAGGTGCTCAAGGTTAGTGTGCCGGTGTAACCACCACTTTGTGTCAGGTAGCAGATCCGGACTTGAGAAATTCTGGTTATAACGTATGCAACCTTGGACAGGAATATCTTTACTATTCGCTGCATTACCAGGACTACCATCAGATTCTGACTTTGATGAAGATGATGGGCCGCGAGATAAATTTGGAGCTCCCCTAGCATCTTCTTGGAAGGAACGATTGCAATTGGCCTTTGCTTCAGCTGTAGCCATTACCCTTTTGGCCTCTGATATTTACATAGCGCTATACAAGAATCTGTTTGAGCAACAATATCAAAATACACTGTAATCTAAAACATATAACCCTTGAAGGCTTAATGGAGCATTGCCTACGTTTAAACTCAATCAAAGAAGAAAACAACAGACTAACTATATAAATCCCCACATTTCATAAATGAACATGCAACAGATAAGAGTTTACAAGCGAAGAAAATTCTTGAACTCTGTTTGTAATTCACAATTTAGAAAGGCGTTACTATTGAAGAACAACCATTGATATAAACAAGTACTATCATCGACAAACAGAGACACACAACTCAACCACGCGTAATATGATATTTGCACACCCCAAAATAACAAGTCTCCTATTTAATAATATTTCTGCTTCATGTCTCTATGCCATCTGAATAACTAGCCAACTCAACTGGATGTGCAATGATGCTTGTTTGCTACAAATCTGAGAGAGTGATTTTTCTCTTACCAAGTTTGAAAGATTTACCCAAAAGCTCAAGCATCTCAAAATCTTGCATCATGGTTTAAGCATTAAATTCCATTTCAATTTAGCCTTCATGCACCTAAATCTTATGCATGATAGTTCAAGAAAATCATGCACCAAGCACTTCCATGCCAATGCTATTTACTTGATGAGAACAAATGTAACAGTCAAGGTAAGCTACATAAGCATCAATCTCTTGCAAACACACATACACAGAGGCACACACAGAGAGATTGAAAAACATAAATGCTGTGTCATTTTTTTGAGCTAACCCGTCAGGCCCCACAAACCAATGAGTAAGAACCAGAAGTGTATTCACATTTTCCAATCAACATCAATTAAGAAACCCCTTCATCCACCAAATACATGAGGGGGCACACCACCCTTTTTATAGTGAACACCAGCTTATAAGTCCACATACTTTGTTGTCAAAAACCATGAATTACTGTTGTTTTTTCATCTTGATTCTTTTGCTCACAGCTTACAAAACTGCCTCTTCTTCGACTCCGATTGTTCAACACACATATTCTAAGTGAAAACAACCCAATAAAATTCACAGGACAAACCCGTTTTTGACTTACTAAATTGAGTAAAGCTCCAGACACACTTGAATTGTTCAATTGCAACAAATCAATAGAAAACCCAGACATTGCAAGAGTTGAATGTCCATATACAAGAACTATATAGCAGCGATGCATAAAAATCAACAATCACTGGATTAAGTAAAGAGGGAAATCACAATATGAACAAGAAAGTAAATACAAATGAATTCAGACAAATATGCATGTATTGCTCGGAGATTTAAGAATACCTGACCGACATCGGTGGGAGATGGGTCTCTGAGGATTTACCAGAGCGTGTTTTCTGAGATCAAAAGATGGATTCAAAGACACTGATACTAATTCCTCGTTCGGCCATCACTATTATTAAGAATAAATTATACATATAACCCTTAAATTATAATAATTATATCAATTAAATCCCTTATTTTTTTCGTATCAATTGAGCCCTAAATTCTCTAATTGTATTAATTGACCCGTTCTATCTGCCTCCTTTGGACGGAAAATGATAAAATGTACCACTCACTTGACACTATTGACACAATTAAAAAGTTTAGAAATTCAATTAATATAAAAAAAATTAGGGCTTAATTGATACGGTAATCATAATTTAAAGTTATATTTATAGATTATTCTTAAAACAATATAGAGATAAATATACCTTCTACCCCAAATGTTTACAAATGATGACACTTTGGTCCAATCCAAAAAGTTTCAAGTATTTCTTTGAATGGAATTAAGAAATTTAGACTAGTCAAAATTTTTGATTTTGTTTTCATGCCGTAAATATATCAAAAGTACCTCCTGAAACCTTTTCTACCCGTTAAGCCTACTAGGTACCCTTATCGCTGCAAATTAAGATAATTTGAGGTCTAAAATAAAAATATTAAATGACGTGTTTTTCTTTTAAAAAAAATTAAATTATTTTTTAATATTTTATGTGAGAGAGAAATATAAAAAGATGTGCTACTTAAGAAAATGTTTCAACTTTTATTTTTGTATTTTACTACAAAGAGAGAGAATGATTGAGAGTAAATATGATTTGATTTTTAAGTAATTTTTTATTTTTTTAACTTCTGATTTTTAGGTCTCTAACGTTATAAATTGAATCATAGACACAAATTATTGTAATAAAAATTTGAATTAAATTTAATTTTTTAGGACTTTTTAAATTTTTTGTAGTCTAATAATATAACCAAAAATTAAGGAGCCTTTTAAAAATTTAAGGCTTAAAGTACAAGCTTTATTTTTAAAGTACAAGCTTTATTTTCAAGGGTTACTGGCAAGTTGTATTATAAAAGATAGTTTGAATTTTAATTTAGACCCTCAAAAATCAAAAATTTTAATTTACACCTTCACAAATAAAAATTTGTATCAATGCGCACCCTCAAAGATAAAAAATCTCAATTTGCACCTTCAAAGATAGAAATTTGTATCAATGTGCACCCCCAAAGATAAAAAATCTTAATTTATACCCTCAAAAATAAAAATTTGTATCAACACCTAAAACTAAATTGATAAATTATACCTAGATCTCCTCATATGTTGTCACTTAATCATTTGGACCCCTTCACATTTAGAATATTACTCCTATATCTCATGGCGTTTGTGCACGTGCAACACGTAACCTATTTTCGTTGATATATGTTAATATAACCGTTAAAAAATATGATTTTATTCTAATAAAAAATTATAATTTTATATTATCTTTTTTTTGTAGGTCTGATATACTCTAAAGTTTAAAATCAAGCTTACCATTTGAATGTCTAATAGAATATAGATATTTATATAATATTTTTTATATCCAATGTAATATATTACTCAATGTGCAACCATTTATTCTATTAGAAATTCAAATGGTAAGCTTGATTTTGAACTTTAAAATATATTGGACCCATAAAATAAAGGGTAATATGAAATTATAATTTTTTTATTAGGATAAAATCATATTTTTTAACTGTTATATTAACATATATCAACAAAAAGGGGTTACGTGTTACACGTACACAAACGTCATGAGATGTAGAAGTAATATTCTAAATGTGAAGGGGTCCAAATGATTAAGTGACAAGCATAAGGGGATATAGATATAATTTATCAATTTAAATTTAGGTGCACATTAATACAAATTTCTATTTTTGAGNATGTGAAGGGGTCCAAATGATTAAGTGACAAGCATGAGGGGATATAGATATAATTTATCAATTTAAATTTAGGTGTGCATTAATACAAATTTCTATTTTTGAGGATGCAAATTGAGATTTTTTATCTTTGGGGGGTGCACATTGATACAAATTTATATCTTTAAGGGTGAAAATTAAGATTTTTGATCTTTAGGGGTGTATAATGATACAAATTTTAATTTTTGAGGGTATAAATTAAAATTTTTGATATTTAAGAGTACAAATTAAAATTTAAACAATCTTTTAGGTATAATTTACGATTAACCCTATTTTCAACGATGTTAAACCGGCCCTACATGGCGGTGTGTAACACGTGATATTCCTCAGTTACATCCCAAATTGCATTGGTCATCACACACACACTTCTTCTTCTTTTTGTGTGGGGTTGGTGGGTCACTTTTCCATTTTTTTTTCCCCGCAAATGTCTTTGCAGCCANTGATATTCCTCAGTTACATCCCAAATTGCATTGGTCATCACACACACACTTCTTCTTTTTTTTGTGTGGGGTTGGTGGGTCACTTTTCCATTTTTTTTTCCCCGCAAATGTCTTTGCAGCCATTGGGAAACAAATGACAAATAAGAGCAACTTTTCAGAGGGACCACTGATCTTCAAAGACCAATATCTATCAAGTAAAATCCGAAATTTGAGAGTTTTCATGTTGTATGACCATTTTTTTTTTTTTGGTTCAATAGTCGAGAGTATTTGGACCAACTTATACGCACCTCAACTAATCTCCTCTCCAATCGGCTAAAGACAAACTATTCGCGCCGGAATTAAGGTATTCATGATACTTTTATCCCACATACCTTGACCACATGAGGTTGCCAAGTTTTTTTTTTTTGGGGCAAAGTGAAGGTTTCATCTATCATCTCCATTCTATCACAGCAGAATACAAACTATTTCAAGGTTTCCCTTATTGTTTCACTATCATGGCCAAATGCTCTCCCATGCATTCTCAGAACCCTCTTGAGCTGCTCTGGTAACACTATCATCTTCTCCAATCAGGAGTGGACACCAAACAGTCGAGACCCACCCCCTGCAACCAACTAGATACTTTGAAAAAATGTAGCTGAGCATGTATATTACAATCCACATAAAGAGATACTAGTACCGCTAGATGTTTGGGAGAAGTTGTGGGGGAGAAGTGAATCCGCCATTGTTGGCGCTGGCAAACTCATGTTATTTGCAAGCAAGTTGACAATGAACCAAGGAACAGATCCCAAACTATCACATAGCAAGGCATAAACTCGTCTTTTAAAAGTGTGAAAGATTTAAGGGGAGTAATAAATCCATAATGTATTTCAGTTCAAAAACAATGCCTCAGCTGCTACAATAGTTTTCAATTCTCAAGCCAAAACTGCAATACAGAAGCATTTGGGATCATGAAGCCCATTTACCTCAGATGCCTTTCATCATTTTCTTCGGATTTTAACATTAAGACCCCACTGAATCTTTCCCTCAGGCAAAGGAATTGATTTTGGCAAGCGTAGTGGAACCTCAAATTCTCCCAACGATGACAAAGGTGTTGGTAGGTGCAAGTTTTCAGGTTCAATGTGCACACGAAGCTGTCTTGCCACCTGTATTAGTGTAAGAGCTGAATTAGGTTAAAAAAAACTGTACATAATCAACCTGTTTTCAAATATTATCCTGACATATATGCGGGGCAGCTTTCCTATGCCCATCAAGACAGCTCATCTCAAGCCACATCATCCACTAATTTGCAACACAGAATTTACAAGCAAACTCATACATAAGATAAAACCCAACCCAACACATGCCCACCTTACTACTGCATGGAAAGACCAGAATGATCAAATAAATGAGAACCTGTAACTTTGACTCTCCAATTGACATGACAAAAAGTTGAATCTAGATATTAGGACAAGATTTCATAGCAGATTGTCCATAAACATGAGGACGCATTCTTTGCATTAGCATACCTGGATCCCCTATGGTCGTGAAACCAAAAAATTTATTGTGCCATTTATCCATTAACACACATGATCTGAGTGTTGTCGTATTGACCTTGTTCATCTAACCAAAGAAGAAAAGGTATGAAATTTTACAAGGCAAAAGGGAGGGGGGTAAGAGGGGTTTAGCATTAGGATGCTCTTCTCTAAATGGTCAAAAAAATTTATGCTTTCCTTCTTTGGTTTGTAGTGTGCAAGTTGCAAGAGGGATCTAACTCAGCAATGCCCAAGCCCAAATGATCAAGTTCCTCATACCGCATGCACTCATATTTATCTAATTACCATGAAAACCAAATTATTTCGCCCACTACTCTAATCTACCAAGCATGTTTCTCAGAGTANGTTCCTCATACCGCATGCACTCATATTTATCTAATTACCATGAAAACCAAATTATTTGGCCCACTACTCTAATCTACCAAGCATGTTTCTCAGAGCGTGCGCAAGCACATACACACAGGTACTGATATTAGCACTAACTGTGAAAAAATATGGACCAAAACGCCAAAGATATCATAACAAAATGTCATCTATTTCTTATTTTAAAAATATGAACAGAAAAGCAACAGTTTATATCAAAAGCATACCTCAGCTACAATTTCATCTTTAGTCACAGGATCACGCAACTCGTTGTCAACCTTGATAAACCTTCTCAAAACCTTTGGAAGAAAATTGCTATACAAGTCAGATCACAGATTGCTAAGCAGAAAAGCACATGAACATTTATTAAGCACAAAAACATGTAAAACTATTGAAAAAACAATGGAAGATACTGAAAAAAATGGAAGAAAGTTAGCCAGTTTCCATGTTTCTAAAATTTACAACAGGAAGTTCTTTCAGACTCTGACACCAACTCCCAGGCAATAGAGCTACTTCTTATTTCAATGGCTGGATAAGCATCAAAGTCGGTCATTTTGCATTGGACAAAAGCAAAGTAAGGTATGCAACAGGAAATGGGAAGATAAGAATCTGTGTAGTGATCAAGAAGCTATTTCAAACATTTCAATTGGCACGTAAGAACTTCAGAGATATGGAACAGACCAACTTGGCACTATCCAGGTATTTGGCCGCTGTTTGATATTCTTTCATAATATCTTCCTCAGTCTTAGAAACTACTTTAACCTCTTCAACTTCCTTGGGTTGGTAAATCTGATCAAAGCAAAATACAACATAAAATCAACAGAATAACATTAGACAAAAGAAAGAAAGCCAATTTATGGCCAACGAAGTGAAGAATTTAAGAGAGATCTACATCATAACTAAGCAGTATGTGTACAGATCTAGGTGATAATAGGATAGTAAGAGAGATACTGCAGAGCAATTAAGAGGGAGAGAGAGGAACTACAAGTCTATAACTACCATTTCGCAAAAAATGTGTCAGAGGATACCTTATGTCACTTAGGTTATCAGAGCAAATGCAGAGGCATACACACAAATTGTCCCCTAAGTCTAAGCTCATAGATGCAACATGTTTTCGCCTAACCAAAAACACATTTTAAGCTCTCCTGTATATGCAGGTGCACCTGCAGGGCTTGGATGTATTTGTGCATGCTGGGGTGGGGAGCTAGCAAGACAAGAGGTCACTCCTGCTGGAAAAAATCAAAGGTCATACTATATAACTAGTGATGCAAGCATCAAACAGTTTTGGAAACCTTCACTGAATGAAGAGTGTAGCAAAATGGAGAAGAACAACGTTGTCTGATTTCTAGATGGTCAAACTGCTACTTAAAACAGACAAGAGAATCAGAATTCATAACAACCACCTAGACGATTTTGCCTGCTGGCCATGTCAATTTGTATAAATAAGTCAAAAACGCATATGGCATGGCCCTATTGACACAGATTTACAGTCCATCTTGAGATCCCATGTCAGAAAAATTTCCCTGCTACACGAATTACCCAATCACCACAACTGGCTTACAAGCCCAACTCATTTAAAAATCTAGAACTCACAAACGTACAAAAACTAATCATGTCAATGAGTTTTACTTCCATGCACAATTAATCAAAATTCCAAGGCGTTTTTGATAGCAATCACTTGAAAAGAAATGATCAATCAAATAGGAACTGGAACAGCAAAAGGCATATAATGACCTTTGCACAATTATATATATACATAATTTCAGGGAAAAACCTTGCGCTGCTCACTGATGAGATGAGCGAACTTGTCTATATTTGGGACAGCCAGCAACTTGGGCATCAGGTGGTTGCGAAAATAACCCGGAGCCACTTTGACTGTTTCACCAGCTTTGCCAAGTTTGTCAATTGTCTGAAGTATTATCATAACATTAATCAAAAAAGTTCCAACTAAATCATATAATGATCAGAAATTCAGATAGAATTATAGTATTCACAAGTTTAAATCTAATTTACCGTAGTTAGGATAACTTCCAACTTTCTGTATCTAACACCTTGACCAGCATACAACAACGGGTGATGCAAGACTCTATCGGAGCTCTGAAAAAGGGAGGTTGGGTCTTTGACAGCTTTAATCTGGCGGATGATATTCCTACCGTATTGCATATAAGCCATTCAATCTGTATACAATCTAGATGCCTCTTCCAGTATATTTCTACAAATTACCAATAACGGATCAGAACTTTATTTTCCGACAGAAAATTAATGTGAAAACATATTGAAAAGTTGAACAGAAAAAGAAATTTAAGTGAAAATGTACTAAGATTTCTCACATGATCGAGCTACGGCACACTTGGTTTCTTAAGCTATGGTGGTTTAGTCAAAGTAAAACAGGACAACATAAACGAATGAATGAGATTCGAATACTATAGCGCACCGGCTACTGGTCGGAGGTTGAAGACGGTGGCCGCGGCGGCGATGGTGGCAGTGGCGACGGTGAGAAAGGAGGAAGATGGGGAAGCAGGCTCAGGGCTCTCTTGTTTGTAGTTGAACGACAAGTTTTGGGGAACAGCCCCAAATTAAATTAAATTCGGGTCATATTTGGATTGAAATTCATAAAATGGGGCTCAACCAGAAAAAAGATAAAAAAATATATATATAGACAAAATTGAAGTGTATTTTAAATTTTCATTGCGAATGTAAGTTGATTGATTAAGTTATTGTGTCATGTTCGAAATTGAACCCAAATTAGTTCATCTAAATCAACCCGAATTGATCCCAAAATTAACTTAAGCAATATTTGGGCTAAGTACCGCTAGTTGAAAGTTGAATTCAAGTTGGATTAAAGTTAAAAGTTTTATAACTCAAATTGGACCTAGGTTGATCCACTAACATGTCCGAGTTGTATCCTATGTTTAGCTAAAGGTTGACTATATTAAATGCTAGGGGTGTCTATTCGTGTCGTATCATCCAGGTACTGTAATTTTTGTATTTTATACCATCTATATAATAAAGTAACCAAATTTATTTATTTTTAGTTTTTCGCGATTCAAATCGCTTGAAAAAATATTGATCTGACGGGTTCTAATATGAAATTTCCTCTCCCCCCATTTTTGGAGCAAGACTTCCATTCATTACACAATTCTAAGACTCTTATATCTCTTATAACTCTCTATCTCATATTACAAATTAATTAGGTCGTTAATTATAATTTTAATTAAAGATTAATTTTTAAAAATTTAAATAAACAAATGAACCATAAATACAGATTTTTTGCATCAAAACTAGTCGAATGACTATAATATAGATAATATTTTATATTAAAATAAAAATATTCTAATATTCTAATGGTATAATAGACAAATAATATATATGTAATGTGATATATATAAATACTAAGAGGCTAGCATTATTAGTCTACGAGTTTTTCGCGACTCAAATTGTTTTAAGATTATTAATCAAATGATCGAAATTCCTCCTCAAAATTTTATTTTATTAGATTATCAATTCGAAGTGATTATGATTATGATTCGAATTGAGTTGAATTTAATTGTCGAGTATAAAATATTTTTACTTAAACTTAATTTTACAAGTATTCAAGTTAAAGTCAAATTAAAATTTATTGTAAAAATAATAAAGAATAATCAAATTAAAAAAAAAAAAAGTTTTGGCATCATAGTGAACTGAAATAGATAATAATTAATTTGTAGATTTAAAATAGAAGCGTTAATTGAGTCAAAGTTAAATTCAATTCTTGGTTTGACGTAATTATGATTAAGACTCGAATTGAACTGAATTTGATTGTCGAATATAAAATATAAATTTTTATTTAAACTTAAATGGTGGGGTTATTCTCATCCCCAAATCTCTATTCCTACCTCATTTAATTTTTCATTATTAAACTATTAAATCTACCTTTTCTATACCCACTATCTTTTAAAAAAAAGAGAACAAAATAAGGAAAAAAAAAAAAAGAAAGAAGCAAACCAAAACAAGAACGAAAAAAAAAACTAAACAAAGATTAAAGGAACAAACAAAACTACAAAATATAAAACCACAAGATGCAAAATTGGATCTGAAAAAAAAATTGTCGAGCACAAATATAAAATTGAACAAGAAAAAAAGAAGTATAGATGCAAAACCTAAACAAAATTAAAAAAATAGCAAATAATCTAAAAGTATACATGTATATATACATATATAAATTCTAACTAAAAAATTATTAAACTCGACAGAGATATCAAAACATATTAAAAATAATGAAAATTTATATAACAAACAAGAAATCAAATATAATTGAATTGAGAAGTAATAATAATATGTATTTCACTAAAAAAATTCATATTAAAAAATTATTTTTGTGAGTGTATCAAATGAAATATATAATGAAGCTCTAATTATGACAAAATATAATATGAGTTTACTTATTAAATGACGTATATATAGCATAAGGTTGACTTAATTATTAATAGGGTGGGTATAGAAGGGGTGAGTTTAGTAGTTTGGTAATGAGAAATTAAATGGAGTGAAAATAACTTCACAAAAACTTAAATTCGATTGAATTTTACGAATATTTAAGTTGAACTCAAATGAAAACTGATTTTAATTTATCAACAAAATATTTTACATTTACGAGAATTCACGTGAAACTTTTGGATGTTTTTCTCACAAAAGTTACACGAATTCACATTGAAAAAATGGTGCAAAGATAATATTATGAACTTTAGGTAGAAACCTGCTAAAAAATAAATAGTTATATTTTTTTTTAAATTTGAGATAAAATTTATTAAAAATGTTAAAATTTTGGATTTGATCAATAATAATTATATTTTCTCAGATTTTTGAATTAATGTTACAGTAGTTGTAGAGTGACTTTCGTAACTTTCGTTATATATATGTTCTGCATACATGTTGAATAATATCAATTTGACCGTTGTATTGTTAAAATTGTATTATACATTACCTTTATTTATGAAACAATATTTACATTTTTTTACAAGTAATGTATTACCTTCAAATACGGGTAATTACTAGTGTTATTTTAATTTGTAGTGGATCTGTGTCAATATCATGAAAAAAAAATTATTTAATGTGTTATGAGTGTTAAACATTAATCCAACTTTGTATTATGCGTATTTATCAATCATATTAATTTTAGACGAGTAACGTTATTGGAATCTAATTTGCTGATTTAATTCACTGTGACATTTGGATTTACTGTAGACCTCATCAAACATTAGAATTTGATGTTGATCTATTGCTTCTTATGAAGCCATATCTTTATATCAACAAGTTAGATCACATTTTTATGTGCAAATAGTATTACTCATTTTAGAGTTGTGGTGGTAGCGTCACGTCGTGTTCGTGTTAAACTGTTAATAGGTTAAATTGACACCCCTAATTATTTCATCCCAATTCCATTTTAAGTCCTTAAGTTTTTAATATCAATTGTGTCATTCAATTTTTTAATGGTTCAATTCAATCCAATCTAATTAGAAGTTGCAAACTTGTAATCGAATTTCATGTGGTAGCTAATCTTTTAATAATTTCTTTTACAAAAAATCATTAATTGGATTGAATAAAATTTTGTTAAAAATCAAAGAACAAAAACAAAAAAATCGAAGTCAAGATTGATGAAAATTTTAGCATGATTCCACCCTTGCCTTAAAGGTTTTTTTTTAAAAAATTAATGCAAGCCAAAAAATTGATTTGAATAAATTGAACTTACACTTGCGACGTTTGTAAAGAAATAAGACTATCCTATGACATTTTAAAAAGTTTTTTTTCTGAACATGTAAAAGAATACATACATACTTTAAACATATTTCACCAAACAACATATCGTAGTCCCAAAAATCTAAGAAAAACAACAAACCCAAGTCCAAATACTACCTCTAAAAAAGCCCAACTCTTGAAAGATTGAATGATCAAACGAGATATACTTGGAATTTCCTGGCCATTTCAAACTAGAAATTAACTGCATGCATCTGAGTTTTTCGTTGGAATCGAGTCTAAAAGACATGTGGTTGACATCTATATGTTCACAATCTGATAGAAAGTCGGTGGTGCTTAAACAAATTTTCCTTATCTTTTGGTTGTTAGGAACACAACACGAGATGGGTCTCCTGTAACTGGTAAGGAATGTGGATTTCAATATTTAAGTTTCTATGCTCTCTATGCAGTAACCACNTATTTAATGTGTTATGAGTGTTAAACATTAATCCAACTTTGTATTATGCGTATTTATCAATCATATTAATTTTAGACGAGTAACGTTATTGGAATCTAATTTGCTGATTTAATTCACTGTGACATTTGGATTTACTGTAGACCTCATCAAACATTAGAATTTGATGTTGATCTATTGCTTCTTATGAAGCCATATCTTTATATCAACAAGTTAGATCACATTTTTATGTGCAAATAGTATTACTCATTTTAGAGTTGTGGTGGTAGCGTCACGTCGTGTTCGTGTTAAACTGTTAATAGGTTAAATTGACACCCCTAATTATTTCATCCCAATTCCATTTTAAGTCCTTAAGTTTTTAATATCAATTGTGTCATTCAATTTTTTAATGGTTCAATTCAATCCAATCTAATTAGAAGTTGCAAACTTGTAATCGAATTTCATGTGGTAGCTAATCTTTTAATAATTTCTTTTACAAAAAATCATTAATTGGATTGAATAAAATTTTGTTAAAAATCAAAGAACAAAAACAAAAAAATCGAAGTCAAGATTGATGAAAATTTTAGCATGATTCCACCCTTGCCTTTAAGGTTTTTTTTTTTAAAATTAATGCAAGCCAAAAAATTGATTTGAATAAATTGAACTTACACTTGCGACGTTTGTAAAAGAAATAAGACTATCCTATGACATTTTAAAAAGTTTTTTTTTTTCTGAACATGTAAAAGAATACATACATACTTTAAACATATTTCACCCAACAACATATCGTAGTCCCAAAAATATAAGAAAAACAACAAACCCAAGTCCAAATACTACCTCTAAAAAAGCCCAACTCTTGAAAGATTGAATGATCAAACGAGATATACTTGGAATTTCCTGGCCATTTCAAACTAGAAATTAACTGCATGCATCTGAGTTTTTCGTTGGAATCGAGTCTAAAAGACATGTGGTTGACATCTATATGTTCACAATCTGATAGAAAGTCGGTGGTGCTTAAACAAATTTTCCTTATCTTTTGGTTGTTAGGAACACAACACGAGATGGGTCTCCTGTAACTGGTAAGGAATGTGGATTTCAATATTTAAGTTTCTATGCTCTCTATGCAGTAACCACCGACTTCTTGGCAAAGGGGGAAGGAGGAAGCAAAAACCACATGCTATTACAGAAAACAAGTTCATCAATTGTAGAATACAAATAACAACACAGGAGAGAGCTTCTCAGGAATTAAATTACAACGCCACTCGGTTCTTTTATGTACATTTTAATTCTGTATTTTTAAAAGAGATTCAAACCTTTCCGCGCCTCAATCTTGGAGCAGACTACCCTTCCTAACAAACATATCCGGAGTTTGGAAAACAGATTAAAATTGTGAGGCTCCCATGCATAACTCCACACACCATTTTTAAGGGCCATCTTCAAGGGCTGAATTGTTGTCAACCATACACAAAAAGGCAGGTGTCACGCAAAGTTCTGAAATTAGAACAATAAAGCTTTGTACATATAAACACACTTGCATACGAGACACACAGAGACTTACTGCTCAAAATAAATCCCTGAAGCAAACTCTGGGCTCTCTCAGCTTGTTCCGGGGTACCTGATATTTGAATGACCTTCTCGGTGATCTCTGGTCTATCATCAATCAGTTTAACATTGGCCCCCGACAACTGTTTGCATTATGACACAAGTCAAAAGACATTGTCTCAGCTAGATGATATGAATGAAAGAAATTTTCCAGGATAGAGATTCACCTCACTGATCTGAGCAAGCTTGTTTTTTGATTTTGTTATGAGTTTGGGCACTGCATGCTGTGGTATGACAACTTCAAGGGTACTCCTAGTGACCAGCGGGACAGGGATACTAGCAAAAAGAAAGTCAAGTTACACAGTCAGTAGAAATGGCAATGTGATTAACAAGGCGTTCAACAACTAAACAAAGATTCTCTACCGATTCATTCCACTTGGCACAGGTTCACGGCGCTCAATTTCAGTCTGTTTCACTTCTTCGCTGCCAGATCCTCCCGAGTCCTACAAAACAAGAAAAAGTGAGGCTTCTCTTCAACGACAGTACTGGGNACAGGTTCACGGCGCTCAATTTCAGTCTGTTTCACTTCTTCGCTGCCAGATCCTCCCAAGTCCTACAAAACAAGAAAAAGTGAGGCTTCTCTTCAACGACAGTACTGGCGACACAAATTTTTAATCGACTTACCTTTGCTGGAAGTGATGTTGCTATGGCCTGCATATTCGGATGGATTGCAGTGGGATGATCACTCCCGGAGTAAATTTGTCGAGATGGAGTTATGTTAGCGCCAGAAACTGCCTCCAGTCCCAATGCACTCCCAACAGGGCTAGATGAAGACATAGGAGGTGGGGTCATATCCTTTTGAAAGAACTCCCGATATAAGAAACTTCGGAGTCTTGAAGTCACTTCAACGAGAGCCTCTCGAGCTGCTTTGATCTCCCCTACAATCTGTGGATATGGAAAGTTGCTAGTCAGATGCAAGGACCGGAGCTGGTTCTGTCCATTAGGCCTTTGTTTGGTGACTTCTAGGTTTGTGGATCCTTTAGTTATCATAGTCAGTAAGTAACATTTCAATCAACATACGTTCGAAATGTGGAGATCCTCTAATCCACAAAATGCCGAGGAGATACAAACACACTAAGGACAACAGGAGAATCAATTGTTAACCAATAGAAATGTGTCTACTGTTCATCAGCAACATGGTGCACGTGAAAGGACAACCAATTATTTGCAGCTCAATTGTGTACTTCTTAGAGCAGAAAATCATACCATATATCAAATATGACAACTTTTTGATCCACTAAACAAGTACCTTAGGAAGTTAACCTAGAGCTTCATGCATCAAACAAGTATGGAACTTCTAAGCATTTATGGGTTCACTTATCAACAAACCTGTACAAGCTCATCAGTTCCTGCTGCACAAATTGGAAGTTCTTCCCTGGGCAGGATCTGTATGTTTGCACCAGTTAATTTTCTCATCTCAAGTAACAACCCATCTCTTCCATCTAAGCAGCTAAGTTCACCAGATGACACAAGTAAACGAGTGGTAATAATATTTTCTTTTTCTGGAACAAGATCAACAATGCGAGTTTGAATATGCAACAAAGCTTCTTGAGCCGGAAACAGTTCATCATCAGGACCCTGTTAAATAACGTAAGCCAGAAACTCTGTCACTACTGTTAAATCATTGAGAAAAAAACAGAAAAAGGGATCACTGAAGAAGACCAACAGCAGGAACATGTGCTAATCTTACCGACAACACATGTAATATGTTCTAACTTAATGTACAAAGCTGAAATAAATAAGAGCACAAAATACTGGAAGAGTGAAGTTGAGGCCAAATTTCTCGAAACCAAAAAGCCATAAAACATAAATCCCTAGCAATTGGAGTTGACTTCATATAAGCTGGATATATATAGAGAAACAACTAGATAGATAGAATAGAGATATAGATCGATAGATATGCAGAAAGACCAATAGAGCAAAAGAGAAAGCAAGTACCTCCTCAGAGGAAATGATAATTATTTGTTCATTTGAGCCAGCCACATGATCAGCAAGCTTAACATCCACACCAATTTCATTATTCAGCAATTCTATAATCCCATCCGACTCCCCAACCACACAATCGACTTTATCGGTTGGGCAAAGTATGCGAAATACAAGGTCCTCAACAGACAGTGACTGCATACTGTCAGTGACAGGAACTCCAGATTCAATTGTATAACTAGATGCACGAGAAAAGTGATTGCTTCTGGGACTGGTCAAGCTGGAAGATAACCGTGAGCCAAAAGTAGCCCCGTCCATAGGCGTTCTGCGTGGTGTATTATTCACATGAGGTATAAAATCCTCATCAGCAGGAAAGAACCGTTGACCATGCAACTGACTACGATCACGATGCTGGCTCTCCCTTAGCCGTGAGGAAATAATTGATATAGCATTCTTCACAGCATTCATATCACCTACAACCTGAGAAAGAGAACTTTACTATATCACCCATCATGTAACATCAAAAGTTCTTTCTTTCATTAGCAAAGGATCAAAAGCAATATTCACACCACTTTTTCATCGATAACAAACATACTTTCTACAAGTTAACTTAGACTAGTACCAAGAAGCGTTCTTGATGAACATGAATGATAAATATTACCCCTTAAATTAGTCACGCCTACAACCAAGGAAATAAATATAATTTAGTCCCAGAACTGAATCAAAAAATTCTGGTGCCATTAACATATTTATGTATTCAGTCTTTAATTAGTTGATACATGATCCTGTGGCGCCTAAAGTACTTAAATTATAGATGGTTCATATATTTTGTGTCCTCATCATGTTAATATTCTGCTTTTCAAGATTTCCCATATCAGCATATAAATGTCTGGTGGTGTCATATGTATGCAGCAAGTTCATCTACATGCTAATTTGAGCCCCAATATGAAATCTCATCGATGTGAAATTTCTTAGAGCTGGAATGAGTGAATCTTTCTTGATTCATCTGTGTTTCTGATTAATATTGCTATCAGTGCCCCCAGCTCACTTATACTACGCACCGCAATACTCTACTGCAAATTATTGTTCCTTAAAAAAACTGTTAAAACTCATCACCACAATATAGGCTGGCCTTGAAGTGCAAGAGCCAGTTTGGCAATCATCTTTAAAAGTTAAAACAAATATCAACCCAGATTGTACCAGAGCTGAATGGTGTTACCCGCAATGCTAATAAAACTTAAATCTAAAATTCTTAAATTTGCAAGGAAAAAGGCTTTTAACTTCAAAGTTGAAATGACCAAAACCTGAACAATTTCCTCCGACATCTGAACACACCGAGGCAAATTATGATCTCTAGGTAGAATCCTGATATGGGTCTTTGTTTCAATCCTCATTTGCTCAATAATCTTCCCTCCTTTCCCCAACAAACACCCCACATGCATTCTTGACACCACCAGTCTCGTAACCACCCGATTCGCCCCTCCCCGAGGCCCATAATCCTCGTCATCATCGCCGGCATTAATACCAAAGCCGCCATTGGTGTAGCCACCACCACCATCACTCTCAAGTATCCTCTCATGAATCAAATACAACGCCTCCTGTGCCGGAGAAAACGCCGGCATTCGACCCTCCGGGTCTCTCCTCCTTGTATCGGAAATCTCGATGATTCGCTCTTCATCACCTGGAACCAATTCGTGTACATTGATCCAAGCCCCAGTGTGTTGTCTAATTGTCTTAATTATACTTCCCGACTTTCCAATCACACCACCGGCTTTAATGTCGTGGCACAGGATTCGATAACTGGTAGTCACCATGAGCGAAGGGTCTTGGATTTTCCGTCCACCACCTCCGGCGGAGCGGCGGTGGCTGGGAGAGTAGTGATGGTTTCCATGGTTATTGTACCGTGGTTTCGTCCTCGGCAGGATTTCAGAATCGTAGTCTTGGTCGTAGTAGTACCTTTTAGATCTTGATCTGTCCATGTCTCTCTGATCAAATTTTCAAATCTAAAGTAGCTAATCGGAAATTTGTCTACACAGATCCAAATTCAGGCGTTAGTATACTCAAATCTGAGGTTCAAAGTTTCCGATGAGTTCATAAGTCCTTGGGAAATGGGAATGATTGTTGTCTCTGATATTTGGAGTTCTTTCCTTTTTGTTTTTCGACTGTTTATCGAGAAAATTCGAACCCTAGAGAACAAGGGAAGTGAGCTCAGCAGAAATAGGTTCAGTCCGTGGAGATGCGTAGTGTACCACTTCAGCTAGATTGCTGCTCTCTCTCTCTCTCTCCCCCCTACTATCCTTTTTTGTGTTGGGGTTAATTTCGAGGTATATCCAAAAGATAGTTTGAACCTTAATTTAGATCTCTAAATATCAAAAATTTTAATTTGTATATTTAAATATAGAAATTTATATTAATTTACACCCCTAAAATTAAAAAATCTTAATTTATACCTTCAAAGATATAATTTGTATCAATATGCACCCATGAAGATAAAAAATTTCAATTTACACCCTCAAAAATATAAATTTGTATCAAGGTGCACCGAAAATTAAATTTGATAAATTATATCTAGATCTCCTTATGCTTGTCACTTAATCATTTGGACCCCTTCACATTTAGAATATTACTCCTACATCTCATGAAGTTTTATGCACGTATAACACGTAACACCTTTTGTTGATATCGGTTAATATAATCGTTAAAAAATATGAATTTATTATAATAAAAAATTATAATTTCATATTACCCTTTATTTTATGGGTCCGATATAATCTAAAATTCAAAATCAAGCTTATCAGTTGAATGTTCAATAGAATGTAGATATTTATATAATATTTTTTATATCCAATGTAATATATCACTCAATGTACAACCCTTTATTCTATTAAATATTCAAATGGTAAGCTTGATTTTAAATTTTAGAGTATATTAGACCTATAAAATAAAAGGTAATATGAAATTATAATTTTTTATTAGGATAAAATCATATTTTTTTATTGTTATATTAACAGATATCAACGAAAATGGGTTACGTGTTACACATGCACAAATGTCACGAGATGTAAGAGTCATATTTCTAAATGTGAAAGGGTTCAAATGATTAAGTGACAAATATAAGAAGATTTATGTATAATTTATTAATTTAATTTTAGGTGTACATTGATATAAATTTTTATTTTTGAGGGTGTAAATTAAAATTTTTTATCTTTAGGGGTACACATTAATACAAATTTCTATCTTTCAGATTGAAAATTGAGATTTTTGATATTTGGGAGAGTGCATTGATATAAATTTCTATCTTTGATGATATAAATTAAAATTAGAACGATTTTTTAGGGTACAATTTGTAATTAACCCTTTGTGTTATTTTACACTTTTGGTAGGTGATGTGCTCGAATCACACGCAATGCTAAATAAAACGGTTTCGTTTTGGTGGAACTCTACATTTCTATATACAGGTGTTAATCGAGCCAAAGTTTATGAATTTGAACCGAGTCCAACAAACTTGTTTTAACGAATTTAAAAAATGTTTAAACTTGACTTATTCAAAACTCAAGTTTAGCCCGAGATGATCCTGAGTCGAACTCGAGTAATTCAATTATTTTACATATAAAGAAGTTAAACTTTACGAGTTTGAGCCAAACCTTTTAACTTTGTTTTTTTAAATAAACCTAAAAAATTATACAAATTCAATTCGTTTAAAATATGAGTCGAACTCCGGTCAAATTTTATTTGTATTGAGACCGAGTATTTCGTCCTTATTAACATCTCTATTTCTACCAATTAAATTTAATTTCATTATAATCTCTTATGTTTGAAGCGCTATCTCTCAAATATATATATATACTAGTCATGACCCGTGCCTGAAGGTGGAGATGTTTGAAGCGCTATCTTCTGTTTGGCGATAGTTTGGAGAGAAAAAATATAACTAGGATAAAATTGAAACAAAATTCTGTTTTATTACATNTTATAATCTCTTATGTTTGAAGCGCTATCTCTCAAATATATATATATACTAGTCATGACCCGTGCCTGAAGATGGAGATGTTTGAAGCGCTATCTTCTGTTTGGCGATAGTTTGAAGGGAAAAAATATAATTAGGATAAAATTGAAACAAAATTCTGTTTTATTACATATATATATATATATATATATATATATATTAATGTTTTTTTGGTAAGTGGTATCACTTTTTTTCAAACGGATCTCTCCCTCATTAATGATAAAGAATCTAACCAGAAGACGATTATAAATAAAATATTACACGAAATCTCGATCGGTCACTTCAAGTGAATCTTTCACTTGGGCCTCTATAGTTGACTATTGCGGTTGTGGATGGGTAATTGCTTATGGGCCTGCTGGTGGGTCGGTTGGTCGTTTAAATTGCCCATATTTATCGATATAATAAAACAATTTCTAATTTAAATTTCAAAAATAAATAAAATAATTTTTATTATTCACGATTGAGATTGTTTTAAATTTTATTTTAAAATTAATCTAACGACTAATATTAATATCCTAAATTTAATAAGAAAAATAGGGTCATAAGAGTGTGTTTGGAGTGACTTTTTTAAAAGTACTTGTAAAAATTATTTTTTATAAATACTTAAAACAAAAAATTATGTTTGAAATCGCTCCACCATCTCCACCGCCACCAACACCGCCGTCGCCGTCGTCGACAACTGCCACCACCACCATCGTCGTCACCGTCGTCGTTCCCACCGCTACCATCTCTTCCTTCGCCACCATCATCAGTGTTATCACCGCCACCACGGTCATTGCCACCTACCTCAACCATCACCGTCTTCTACTACCACCACTGTCGCTCCACCACCTCTCACTCACACTAAAAATCGATATTTAAATTCATTTATTTTTTCTCTATGTTTGTGATTTGATTTGAATATAAATATAAATATGTTTATTGTTTACAATTTTTTATTATTTTGGGCCTTCATAGACAATAACTAATATTTAAATATAGAGTAAACTACACATATTTTAAAATTATTACCCATATATCAATTAAGTCCCCGAATATTTTTTTTATATCAATTGAGCCACTAAATTTTTTATTTATGTCAATTGAACTTTTTTATCGATCCGGTTAGATTTTTTATCGAAAAGTGACAAAGTGTATCATTGACATAAATGATTAGAATAAACTATACATATGACTCTCAAATTATGATATTTATATCAATTAAATTCTGTAACTTTTTTTTTATGTCAATTGAACTCCTAAATTTTCTAATTGTATTAATTGAGGCATTTTATCTTTTTATGTCATATAGTCACATGAATGGCGAAGTGTGCCGTGACACAAAATTTCTTAGAATAAACTATACATATAACTTTTAAATTATGACTCTTGTTTCAATTAAATTTTAAATTTTTTTTATGTTAATTGAGTCCGTAAACTTTCTAATTGTGTCGGTTAAATTATTTTATTTTTTTGTGCCATATAGTCACGTGAGTGTCACAATCTAATGGAGACAAACAAAATTATTTAATTAGCACAATTAGGGAGTTTCGGAGTTTAATTGATATAAAAAAAATTAGGGACTTAATTGATATAAGTATCATAATTTAAGTCCTATGTGTATAATTTACTCTTAAATTGAAGATATTCTAACAAAAATTTAAAAAAAAAAAATGACAAAATGGACTGAGAGAACGGTAAAGCTTAGTCTGAGCAGAATGAACGCGGCAATGGCTATTTTGACTCCAACCTTCACCAGCTTCTCACTTCCACGTTCACCCGTAAATACTCTTCTTCTTAATTAAACCTTGCGTTTGGTTGCCTAGAAAGTTAGACATAGAGATCTGAAGTAAAGAAATTTTACAATAAACACAGTTTCAACAATTGTAAAGGCCTTGGCCTTATATTTTCCCAGTCACTTGAGGATTTTACATCCAAATACAAATTGGGTTTCTTTTTCCCTCGTTTTCTAAGCTGCCAAACAAGCCCAGGGGGTCCTTTTTTTTTTTTTGTTCAATTCATTCATTACGTCTGAGAATTCTGGTGGTGTTGTTTCTCTGATGCAGAAAATTGAGGTGAAAGTTGAAAATTCATGGCGTTTGAACTTCGCTATTAGGTCACAGGTAAGAAATTTTGGATTTCTTCCCCAACTTCTGCTGATGTGATAAATTTGATTTTATTCTCAATTTTCTGATTACATGTTTCCAGGACAAGTCACAGTCTCAAAATGAAAGCCGTGGTCACCGGCGAGTATGGAGGCGGAGAAAATTGGTACTATAACTTCCAATTTCTTGCCCTTTCATTGTTTTTTATTTTCCATACTTTTTTCCTGGATAGGTATAATTAGAGGTGCATGTTATGTCTTCTGGATTTTGAACGGGCGTTGGTGCAACGGTAAGGTTGTCTCCATCGTGACCTGGAGGTTACGGGTTCGAGCCGCAGAAATAGCTGCATACATCTAACCTTCCGTGACCTTGCAACGACGGGAGTTTAGTGCACCGAGTACGTCCTTTACCTACTGGATTTTGAAGGTGAAATTGGGGGTTGAGCATTGTATGGTTGATAACTTTGTGAACATGGTCTAGCTGTAGTTCATGGAAGAAGTTCAATTAATAGCTCAGCCCACATGGAATTTTGGGTTAGTATACTTCCAAAATGTAATTCATTTTGGGGAACTCATACACTAAGTATCTTTCAAGTCAGTCATTGGATGCTATCAAGGATGTTTCAGTTCAAAGCATTAATGAGTTGACAATCAAAGAATACATAGGGATGCTACAAAAGATAAAGTTATGAATGAGCATATTTATATAAAGAAGTGGAGGATAGTGGTGTTGGTTGAAGAGGGCAAGAGATTTCGAGTTTGGGTGGGTGTAGATGGCTAGAGTAGTTGTAGAAATAATAAGAAATGAAATGGATCGGATAGGAAGTCTCATTGACCTACTCAACTCTTCCATATGGCACTGGTTCACAATCCAGCTGTGGGGAAATCCGCTCATTGGCAGATATGTTCTTGCCGCTATACAGGCTTTGAAAGAAAGGGAAGCTCATGGAGCTTTGTATTTTTTATTTTTTTTTTGGGGGAGGGAAGAGTTGAACCTTTGACCTTAAGAATTCAAAACCTTCACAAGACAATGACTACCATTCGACCAAACGTCCGTTGGTTGGAGCTCTCTCTACTAGTAAGAAGGAAGATGGGGATTTCTTTCCAGATATCTACCTATTCAGTTATTGCATGCACAACAAAAATAAAAAGAAAAAAGGCATCACGTACCCCCTTTATTAGGAAGAGGGGAAAAGCCTAGGCCTTGCCTTTAGCACATATATACAAAGGGTGCTCCAGTGCTTCACTAATATAATAAAGGGTGTTGATAAGTGTTGGGTGGCCCTTAGAGGCTTTTATTGGTGTATGATAAAGAGCATTGGTCAAAGAATTTTATTGTGCACGTAATGTGATATCTGAAATTTCTGAGCATGAGTCATGTTTTTCACATGAAAAATTAGGACTAAGCATTGAATGTAAATTGTTTACTGTTGTTGGTGGCTTGCTCTAATTCCTTCTTTCTCATGTTTAGAGGATAATCTGGTTCTTCCATATCAGAATCTCTGCAATTTCAAGCACTTTTTGACCTGACATTGCATATTGTACAGTACATCCCTTGATGCTTATGGGCATTAACTGAAAGTGCTCATTCCTATTTTGTCTTTGTTCCAGACAAAGAAGGATGACATGTTGCGATACAAATTGGAAAGAATCCCTTTCCTTGAGGAGCAGGTGAGAAAGATAAGGGAAGGAGGGAAGCTCTTGACAATGGACATCGAAAGACTATTATTGTCTGAGGATAACCGCTTCGATTTCGTGAATGAGGTGGCTGCTGAGGCTAAACAGTATGTTGAGAACAACCGAGATGAGTATGGTGCAAAGAAAGCTATCCTTCATGTGCTTAGCAATCGTATGAATGAGGCTGGTGTTTATCGCCCAGAGGCATACATGGAGTCTGATCCCTTCAAGCCTGGTCCTGGATATCTAAGAGAGGAACTTTAGGGTGGATATTCAACACTGTAGCATTAACTTCACGATGAAACTTGTCATTTCCACTAAATTTTATTTTCAATACTGCAACTTCGCTAGATTTTCTTCTTCTTTTCTTTACGTATTAGATGAACTACTTGTCTACTGCAAAAGTATCCACTGTTTCATGCTCTTACTTGAAGCCAGTGCAGATTGCCAATAATTTTAGCAAAGGCAGTGCTTAAGCAGACGATGTGAAAAATAGGGATGATATGGTACATGGGGAGCTAGGAGAGGAAGGCTGCCCTGCTCCGGGTTTAGGGGAGAGAATTTGATGAAGTTGCACTAAAATGGGTGTTTCTTGCAGAGTTATCTGAGGCATCATTCCTAGTTCTGGATAGAGAATAGCCATGAAAATTGTTAGAACAACCTTTATAATTAATTGTGCCTCATTCCATGCTCAGACTAGTACCCAAAAAGGGTTGACATCTATGACATTAAGAGTGGGACGCAAATGCAATCAATATCTGATGATATGCATGACATTGATATTAGACTAACGGTTACGGGTCTATCCACCTTGAGAGAGTGGAGATTATCAGTTTGAATTTGCTATCTATAATAATAATAATAATAAAAATGTATGGCATTGATATGAGCCCTTGGTGGCAAACTGTATCGACTGGCCTCCTGGTCTACACCTACTTGTGGAAGAGGGGGGTTACAGTTTGCACAAGGAACTTCTTTCTATTTAGAAAAAAACTGTTGCTTTCAGGTTTTACCATGGATTCTCTGTTTGGTTGTTGCATAGGTACTCAGTACTGCAGGCTAGCAATAAAACAACCTCTAAACCACTAGAGACAGCAACCTACAATAAATCAGTCTTATATGATTAGCATAAGCTAAAAATTGTTATGTGGGGAGACTTAAAACGGTCAATGATCCATGGGCTGGATTAAAAGCCCAATAATGTATCAGGCTATGAGCTTCTTGGCGGATCATACGAGTGCATTGCATGGCCCATTAGCGCGATAGGTAGGGCTGCAGGTCTTCTATTGGTTCTACGAACTGGTGCCCAAGTTGGCATATGGGATTTGTTTGCCCATCTAGGTATGTGTTGGCCACCTGGACGGTTCCACTACATGGAGGCTTTTGGTGACCCAAAGGCCAATAGCCCATTTGACAGGGCTGTGGGGCTTTTTTTTGGCTCGGATTTGTTTAGATTTTTATTTTTTTTTCAACTCATAAAATAAAAATCTGTAAATGTTTATTATCCAATGGACAAGCCATGGGTAGCAAAACTAATCTTCGAATCCTATGGTGGGTAGGTGGAACCATTGCAAAATGGGGCCCTTTTGCTATCTGGGGATGATCGGAGCATTTGAGAAAGAGAAAAAAAAAAAAAAGGTGGAAATGAAAAATCCACACAAAGTTGGATTTGGGTCGAATTATATTCCGCCCATCAACTCCTCAACCAAAAGGTCCAGAACCCAATTGAACCAGCCAGGCCCACCAATGGGCAAATCTGAAATCTAATCCGTTTTAGCAGTTAGAGGTGTAGCTTCACTCTCTCTCCTCATTCACACAACCTGAACCAACCATTTCCTCCTCACTCCTTTTTCAGGGACTCACACTAGTTTTGAAAAGCTCTGCTCAAAAATTCAACTCCATTAATGGCGTTGTCTCCTCCACAGTTGCAAAGATTCCTTTTAAACAGAATCGCTTGCAACTCAAGCCATAACAAGATCACTGGCAAAAACATTATTGCTAAGGCACGAACTGGTCGGTGTTGCTCTGCTATAGCAATCGATGCACCTTCGTCTTTGACCAGCGTTGTTCCGATTAGGTGGGCATCGACGAAATTGCAAGGTCTACGTGAAGAGATGGAAGACGATGTTGTTATTGTTCAGTCCGATGATCTTCAGGGTTTCTCTTTTGCCGCTGTTTTCGATGGCCATGCGGGCTTTTCTTCTGTCAAATTCCTCAGGTCTGTGGACACATGATGTAGTTCTTTTATCGTTTGAACAAGAATGGATGCATATGATTGTGCTTCTATGTTAATTTGGTGTTTTTTTTCTTGCAGAATTGTAGTATATTATTGAGTTTGTATATTAGAAGACTACTGGGGATGCTTGTGTTGATTCATAACTTTGCTTATATTTTCAGTATCGGGTCATATGATACTTGCCCACTCAATGTTTTGTATAGTATTTTTGTTATCAAGTCATTATCATGGGTGGTGCCCCTTATGGAAGTGGCATACCGGTAGCGTTTGTCTTTAATGATTGAATAAGTGTCATTCTGTATGTTCTGATACCAAATCCATGGCATCATCACTGGTGATTGCTTGCATGTTCATTAATTGCCACATTCGCGTTGTATTTATACTAGCAAGTGCTGTAAAAGAAACGAGACTTCAGTCAAGTTTTCACAACATGCCCAAAATTTTATGGACAAAATATATTGTGTATCTCAGATGTAATATTTACTATGACAGTTAAGAATTCAGATTCTGAAAATTGTCACTATGAAGATTGGAATTTATATCATCTCGTCTTGCATGGCAGTTGGTTAACAATGTTGCTAGTATGTGCATTTTTGTGTGTTTCAAGAGAGGGAGGGGGGGGGGGGG